AGCCTGGGAATCAGTCCTCTTTACCATCCTTGCAGCTGACCCTGTGCGGCCCAACCTCCCAGCCTTGTCATTGCCAAAGCCGCCTAATCCACATCCGGTCTCCAGGCTCAGCTGCTGTGCTTTCCCTACTGCCACTAGAGTTCATGCAGCTGTGGTTCCCGAACATCTCCAAGATAAACTTCAAATACCTTCCAAGAGTATATGGAGTCCTTGTAAGCTGGCCCTAGCTTACCCTTCCAGCTCTCTTTTATTTTTTGACCCTCCAGTGATCCAGACTTCTTGCAACCTATTATACTCATGATGCCTTTGCTTAAGCTGGTCCCTCCGGAATTCTGGAAAAAGCAATTCTGGAATGCTTTCTCTGCACTTGTCAGTCTGGAAAACTCCCACAACCATAAAACTCCCTCCAAATTTCCCTCCAAAATTCCCTCTAAATATTAAGCCTCTTCCCACGCCTCCTTGCTCCCTGGGCCATACAGTGCTGTATATTATTTATTCTCACGTCTCAGAGTTAGCATGGGCCTGCCCTGTAACTCCACAGATAGTGGTGAGTGACTGAAAAATACGTTAAACTCTACCCAAACTGAAGGTTTTCTCTGTAGACGAGTCTTTGGCGTTTCCTGAAGGGTTACCATGAGCTTTTCTGTACAGTAATGGGCAGGATGGGGTCACCAGCAATGGCGTCCTCCCCTGGTGCTGGCCCACCTGCCACGAGAGGATACCCTGGCAGTGGGGCTTTGCTGGGTGGGATCTGTGCTTGGAGCCCTCTGCCACTTTTCCAGGCAACTCTCATCAGCCATGGGGCTGTCGGATTCTAGGCCAGTAGGGCAGGACCACTGCCAAGGTGTCCTGAGGTTCACTGGGGCTGTGGAAGCCATAACAGCCAGGCAGCTTGGCATTAGTCACAGAGTACAGGGGAGCTGTCTTTTAATTAAGACTTTGGGAAGAAGTGACTGAATGATAAGTGAAGCCTGCACACAGGGGCTTGTCGTGGCAAACCAGAGCATGCTTTTTGCAGGATCCCCTATATAAAGAGATACTTTAAAAAATGCCAGCTTCTTCATAAATTGCTTTAAAAAAAAAACCCCTCACTATTATTAGGCTTGCATTGAGGTATGGTGGGATAGATGCCTAAGGTGGAGGCAGAAATGTTCAATTGTAGCCTTTTGACTCCGTGATCGAAATGTTTCATGGCAGCCAGCAGGGGGAGCTAGTTAAAAACACAGAGTCCCTGGTTTCACACCCCGCTCCTAAGATTTTGAGGAAATAGGTGTGGGATGGGACCCAGATGTCTGCATTTTAATCAAGCTCTTCAGGAGACTGATTCAGATCTGAACCTCTGTTTCCTCATCTTAAAGGTGAGACTAATGACAACTTGATTACTCTAGAGTATCCTATCCCCTTTAGACAGGTGTTGTGAATATTAGATTAGGTAATATGTGGGGAAAACTGTAAAGTTTACAGAATGCTACACAGATATTATTATCCTTTTGGCCATGTCTGACTTATAATACGGGGATGAGGCACTTTGGGTATAATGGCACTCTCCCCTCCTTGTCTAGAAATAGTCACTGGAAATGCAAACACCTGGGTGATGATGAAAGTGGAATAGTGTGTTCCTGTGAAGAATTTTCAAAGAATTATTGGCCCATAAAAATTCTATCAGGTACCAGCTATAACTAGTTAGAAAATATGATGGAAAGTATCCTTTCACAATGACAACAAAAACTATAAAATGTCTAGTAATGTGCAAGACCTTTCTGGAAAAAGCACTCTGTTGAGTGATATAAAAGAAGGACGTGGAGAAACATGGATTTGGGTAGGAAGCTGTGCATTAAGATGTTAGGCCTCCTCAGTTTAATAAGTTTAAAATAATTCCAATAGGATTTTTGAACTGGGAACACAACAGAGTGATTACAGTTGTTGTATGGAAAATGAAATTGGTGAGAATAGCTAATAATGAAGAAAATGACAGGATAACCGGGTTCAGACACATTAACATGTATTATAAAGTTATACTAATTAAAGGAGCATAGCACCAGCATAAGAATCAATGAAACAGAACAGGAATCTCAGCTACAAAGCCGATGCTCCCTGTGTAAAGATTTAGTATATAAGTGGCAGTGGAAAAAGATGAAGTAGTCAATATATTGTATTTAGACAGTTGGTTACTATTTGGAAATAAAACAGCAAGTGAAGAACACCATAAATAAAATGATCAATATACTTGATTTTAAAAAAAGAAAGGTAAGTGTACTGGGAAAAAATGGTCATGATATATGAAGGTTAAAGAAGGTTATCTCTGATACATAGGGTGTATTCTAATCAATAAGAATAATCCAAAAGAAAAGAAATAAAGAATATGTACAATTTACAAATAAGTTAAGGGCCAATGAATATTGGAGTGAAAATATTCCAGTTATACAAGATATAATCTCTGGCCTATCAAATTGACAAAGATGAAGAAAATGGCACCCAGTGTTGGTGAATACATGAAGGTGGAGGAAATGTAAATTGGTTCAAGTTTTCTGGCAAGCCATTTGTCAATATAGATGAAATGCCTAAGCACAGGTCTGTCTCTGACTCAGCAATTCGATTTCTATGGTGTATCCCCAGGAATAATCATACATGTGCACAACAATATATACATAATAAGACAGTTTATCACCAAAGTATTTATAATTGCTACCAATTGGAAACAGCCTAAAAGTTCAGGAATTGGGGATTGGTCCTCTTCAGTTATGGAGCAACCTTACAATGTAAACTTTTATTTTGTATTTTTTAAAGATTTATTTATCTTAAAGGGAGAAGGATCTCGGGGAAGGGACAGCGGGAGAGGGAGAGAGAGAATCTCAAGCAATCTCCATGCTGAGCATGGAGCCCAGCACAGGGCTCAATTTCACGACCCTGAGATCAGACCTGAGTTGAAACCAAGCGTCTGTTGCTCAACCGACTGCGCTACCCAGGTGCCCCAAAATGTAACCTTTTAAAGAATACTGGGAAGTGAGGCAAAATAGTGAGGATATAATGTCTGATAGAAGGAGATAAAATTCTACATTGCGTATGTAAAAATATTTATAGAAAATACTTTTTATTTTTTCCATACTTTGTTACCTTGAACACGTAAGTCAGAAAAAAAAATATTTGGGTGCTCACCAGTTGTGGTTATCGTGTTCTGATTATCACTGTTCTATAGAGATTAGATTAAATGTCATCTGGTTTGTTTCCTGTCATTTACATTCTCCCATTGTTTCTAGGTTCACTCTCTGATTTTGTCTTAGGCTCCTCCAGATTTATTTGAGGCTGTAGGACCGAGCTTTTATTCTTATGAGGAGGCACATGCGGTGCTTGCTGCCGCGGAATGTTATAAACTGTATTCCAGAGCAGCTCATCTTCTTCCGAGGATTATGACAAGCCCCTAATGCTCTACCTATACTTGCTTTTCAAAGGTACCGAGAAAATATTGTGCATTTGAGGATGCTGGAATCTGCCAAAATGTATTAGTTGTAAAACCAAAACAAGTGTATGAGCTGTAAAGACAACAGCAGTAAATTGGTTCCAAATATAGCCCTTTATTGACAATGTCTAGGCATAGTGAAACAAACCAGCCCAGCAGATAGTTAGAGTATGTGTTTGTGCTCTCAATAACTTCTCCACCAAAGGATGACAAGATAATTTGGAGAACATTAAACGATTTTTCTCTATTTTATACTTTTGTGCATGGTGGTTGTCCTAGATTATGTTTACTCCTCTGCCTCTTTGTTATTCAGAAGCCTAGAATTTTGAGTACTTGTGGTTTTTTTCCCCTTTATTTATTTCATTTATTGTAGTCTAGTATCTGCACAAAATAGGGGTTCTTTAAAGTTTTATTTTTTGCTTTTTAAAAAAAATTTATTTGAGAGAGAAAGAGAGAGAGCTTGTGCACGCACAAGTGGGGGGAGGGGCAGAGGGAGAGGGAGACGCAGGCTCCCCACTGAGCAGGGAGGCTGATGCGGGGCTCGATCCCAGGACCCTGAGATCATGGCCTGAGCTGAAGGCAGACGCTTAACCCACTGAGCCATCCAGGCGCTGTTTTTTACTTCTTAACAACTGTCCAGAAATAATAACTTCTGGTTAATTATGATCAAAAGAGGATGTATGTATGACAGTCTGGGATAAAGCAGTTCTTGGAGCCTTTCTGCAATAAATATCTGTGGGACCATCTTGTAACTTTATTGTTAAGTATTTTCTCAGTTTGTATAAGGTAACGTCTGCCGATTTTATGTCCTTGTTCACAGGTTTTTCTCCAACTGTTTCTCCTCAAACCATCTAAAAATAAAACTAGAGTTTTGGGAATGCTTATCAGCAACATACAGTGCATGGCCAGCCAGTTCTGTTAAGGACAGGTACATTGAGAGTAGTGGGTTTGTGACATGCACTGTCACTCAAAGCTAGAAAGAAGCTTCGTACAAGGCTTGGTGCCTCAGATCAACTGGGTCAGTGGATTAGCGGTCTGAGGCTCTGAATTCTTATTCTTGGTTTTGCTGATGCTTTTCTTGTCAACCATTCTGACCATAAATGAAAGATAAAGACACCAAAGGGAGATTCAAATCATAAACCGCAGCACTGCTTCTTAAATTCATCTTCTCAGTATTTTTCAGAGCCTACCAACAGCCTTGAAGCTTTGCCCCTATCCTCCACTCTTCACCAGCACACCTTCCGTACATATTTTAGTCTTCTTTCTGCCAACCTGCAAGGAAGCCCAAGGCTTGTGTGGCACTCTCCATTGGGCTTTGGAGGGGAGGGAAACTGAGTAGTCAGAGGTATTTTCGCTCTTCCATAGCAGTGGGGGTAGGGGCAGGAAGAGGGGGAAGGGGAAAATAATAAACATTTATAATTTAATATCCTTTCTTGTATCCCTGATGCATTTATAATGCAGCTGTTTGTTTTACAGGTCAGGGGGCTCACTTGCTGAACTCGGGTGTGATACTAACATCATGTCTTTCTCTTGGAACCCATAGGCACTCAGTAGTTTAAACTACCACATTGTCAAGGACACCAGGGATAGTTGGAAGGGCAGTTTCTACCAGACCAGAGGTTAAAGGCTCAAGGGCTGAAAGCGGAATTAGAGGTAAGATAATGGCTCTCTTTAGTTGTCGCAGATTGTCAAAAGCAAAATGAGGTTGTGCCTGTGGGAATCCCCTGGACACAGGATCAGATGGTTACAGGTATCTCTGAATGGGGAAGGGTACTGAACCACAGAAATGCAGGAAGGAGCCGGGTCCAGCAGCTGGAGGGCTCACTCTCACCTGCCCCCTCACTGGTCTTCAGGAATTAAGGGGCTGGGGGTATAAGCACATTATTGGTCCCGCTAAGAGTGAAGGCTCTGGAGATGGCTGCTGGTTTCTTTGGTGGGAATTTGAGGCTTGGAAGGAATGTGTGCCAAAAACGAGGACTGTAAAGAGACGAAATTATAAACAAGTAATCTTGAGGCTTGGAAAATGTTGTCTCATTCCCCTGGGTCATCACTGAGGGGAAATTGACCTCAAAATGTGAGAGCATGAATAAAGGGAGGGAGGCGAGTGATTTGTGCAAATGAGACCATGAAAAGGGCTGATTTGTTCAGTAATTTATTTCAGTATTTCAGTAGATTGTACTCTGGCAGCTTGGAGCATAATAAAAACCAGTGTGCTTTCTTGTATATGGGGATTTCTGAGTGTCTTTTTGAAGTTCTGTGACCTATTTTAAAAAGTGCGCTTCTGGACCTGTGGAAGTGTCTACTCTTGCTGTCCGTCTGTCCAGTGTAAGGGCTTGTGCAGTCCTGGCTTTCGGAGCAGCTGGTGAAGTCAGACATGTTTCATTTGTCTGGGTGAGCTCCCCTCACCTCGTTTTCCCCTCTCTGGCTCAGTAACTGGTGTCCTTCTTTCCCCTGCTCCCTTACCAACATCTGTCGTCCTTTGTTTTCCCCACACATTGAGGTTCTACAAATGATTAATAACTGACTAGACTGTGAATTACTTACAAGCAAAGACAAACTTCTAGGATCCAGCAGTGTTTTGGAAGTAATGGGTATTCAATAAATGGGTATTTGTTGAATGAATGGATAGCCTAAACTACCGCCCCCCGCCCCCCGCCAGCCCCCAAGGAAAGCATACATTTTAAAGGCAATCACGCCAAACTGATAAATCTCTAATAAGGATTTCAGGAGTATCTGATAGGTTGGAGGAGATTCTGTGCAGACTTGCAGCTTTCCTCACACTCAGGAAATCACAGCCGAGGGTCCTGGTGATACTTTCTGGTGTAGATGCCAAGAGACACAATTGTTGAATTGAAACTGATCAATTCTAGGAAACAAGGAAAGCTATTGAGCCCAAGCGTTGGGCTCACTCCAAGATAGACAGTGATGGCATGTTTGGCTGGTTCCCAGCACTGACAGTTGAGACAACCCTGATCTGGTCTTGTGTGACATAAGGCAGCCCTTGGGGTTGTCAATTTCAGGGCCTGGGGGGAGCAGCCCAAGCCCTTGACCTCTACCTTTGCCAGGGACTGGCTCCACCATCACTCCAACCACCATGTTGCCTAGGAGCCCTTTGGGGGACAGTGTGGGCAGCACAGACTCTGCTTCCAGATCTCACTCCCCAGCCAAGAAGGAGAGAAAAAAATAACTAAACACATCTGCTAATTATGTTCCAGATAGTTTTTTGAAAATACAGAATCAGTGAGGGATAAATGAGCATTAACCATACCTCTTGAGACAAATTCACACTTTTTTTTTTTCTTAAATCATCACATTGGCTGATCCTTCAATGGTCAGCAAAAAATTTTCTCTTTTAGACTTTGGTCTAAAGTCTAAAGATCAGGGGCACCTGGGTGGCTCAGTCGTTAAGCGTCTGCCTTCAGCTCAGGTCATGATCCCAGGGTCCTGGGATCGAGCCCCACATCGGGCTCCCTGTTTGGCGGGAAGCCAGCTTCTCCCTCTCCCACTCCTCCTGCTTGTGTTTCCTCTCTTGCTGTATCTCTCTCTGTCAAATAAATAAATAAAATCTTAAAAAAAAATAAAGTCTAAAGATCAGGTCTTCTGGCTCTCCATGAGGTATGTTTTGTGACTGGTTGTCGTTACATGATCCCAGGAAGAGTGAGAAGGGATCAGTTTTACAAATCAGTAAGTGCTGACCCACCTAAAAATAGAAATGGCTGGAGGAAAGCAGAGATAGGCAAGAAGGGGGCAGTGGTCTAAACCAGTGAGAGAAAATACTAAAGAAATGATTTATGATATTATCTAAAACCTATGTGCTTTTGAAGTATTCAGGTGAGTGTATTTTTAGCAGATGAGGGAATTAAGGATTGGCATTTGCAGGCAAATGACAGCCGGACGCTCATGATTAATAACAAACAAGTATCTATTAAATGTCCCTTTGCATGTCACCACCCTGAATTCTGAAGGGTTTTCACCTTGAGAATTATAGAGGCCTTGACCTTTTGTTCAAGCATAAGGAAAGGCAAGAGAATAAACAATATACATAAAAAGTCCAGAGCCAGCAGCAGGGCTAGAAAAATGATCTAAAAATCCAGTCAGATTCTTCTTAAAGAGTTGTGGGAATTTCCTAATTTCTCTGTCAAAGATCTCATCTTCACATTCCTTTTCTTAGGAAATACTTCTTACCCCATCTTCATGTCCCTGTTCTGATGCTGCTGCCTTTCTGGGAATGGGACTGGTGGAGTGACCAGAGGGCAGGAAATCCTAGGAGTGGGGGTGGGAGGGTCTGGAGGACCACAGAGACTGCTGAGAGTTCCAGGCGGTGGGGGGTGGGGGTGCGGGGGGGTTGGGGGAGCAGAATAACAAAAGAGTTTTTTTCATCACAGCTGCATGCTGGAGGGCTATTGATTAGGAGGAAGTGATGTTTTTGTGAGGGTTAAAATCAGCTTTGGAAATATTCCTGGACTACTTTTCCAGGGCCAAAAAGTATTTTTTTTTTTTTATCATGTCTTTCGACTTAACTGTTTTAATAAAGGAATTAGTTTGAGTGGATGGTTCCAGATACTGGAGACAGTTCTTTGATATTGTTTTAATCATATCCCAAATTCATACCTTGGCATATCCACAGACACCTAATTTAGTGTAACAATGGTAAAGCAGAATAACCGTCTCCCAAAGGTATCCACCTCCTAATTCCCAAACCTGTCCATAGGTTAACTTAGGCGGCAAAGGAGACTTTGTTAATGTGATTAAAGTAAGGATCTTAAATTGGGGAGATTTTCCTGGATTACCTGGTGGGCTTGATGTAGTCACACGTGTCCTTATAAGGGAAGGAGGGAGGCAGGGGAGTAGAGTCAAACACGTCAGAATGGGAGCAGAGGTTGGAGTGATACGAAGGGGTCCACAGAAGCTGGAAAAGGCAGCGAACGGACTTTCCCCTAGAGCCGGTAGGAATACAGCTCTGTGGACACCTTGATTGTAGCCTAGTGAGATACATTTTGGATCTTCAGAAATGTAAGGTGATAAGCTTGTAATTTGTTATAGCAGCAATAGAAAATGAACACAGTAAACTTTATATTGTAAAATAACTACTAGTTACATGTTTGCAAGTCAATGATGTTTGGGGAGAGAGGATGTTCTTTCCCTTAACTTAGAGTTTCCACGTGAAGGGTATCAATTAGTGTTAATATTCTTGGCCTGACCTCCCCCAGGAGAGTGGAGAGAATTAGAATGACCTGATTGGTAAGTGTGGGAGCCACACCTGGGCATGCCTTGCTTAGCCCTTCCCACTTCCCCTTTGGGATCCATCTGTCCAGAAAAGTAAAAGTTCTGCTCTCTTTGGATACAGAGGTCTTTGTTTTCCAATGCTTTTTTTTTGTGATGGATTAAGAAGCCCACTGTTACCCATGTGCCTAAACCCATTCTAGTCTTTTTCTGTTGGATTCTTCTTTCTCAAGCAGGGAAAAGAGGTCTTATTTATTGAATCCAGTGAAACACAACTTATCACATAGATATGCTTTCTCTTTTCCTTGAATAACTTATGTGTCATTATTTAATTTATTTATTATGTCTTGCTTAGTTCCAGAGTATTTAAGATGGCTTATAAATACATTATAATTAAAAAAGAGGAGTAGAGGGGCACCTAGGTGGCTCAGTTGGTTAAGTGACTGCCTTCGGCTCAGGTCATGATCCTGGAGTCCCAGAATCGAGTCCCGCATCGGGCTCCCTGATCAGCATGGAGTCTGCTTCTCCCTCTGACCTTCCCCCCTCTCATGTGCTCTCTCTGTCTCTGTCTCTCTCTCATTCTCTCTCTAAAATAAATGAAATCTTAAAAAAAAAAACAAGAGGAGTAGAGGGGGAAATGAAGGAAGGATTGATTAGATAAAAGTAGAATGAGGTTAGAATCATGAGCGTCTCCTCCAGTGCTGGCAGGGTTTGAGGTGGGGAGGCTCACAAATCTGACTCTGAACTTCTTATCAGTCAAAGCAAAGAGGGAAGCCTAATTGGTTAATGATTTATAGAATCATTGTAGAATCAAAGTTGAATGATTTATGGAATATGATAGCAAAACACCCAACAGGTCACTCAAGAGAAACATAACTATACCTAACACTGGGACTGTGGGAAACTTCTCCTGGGTGTTCATAAAGGGAATGCTTATAGAATGTAATGAACAGGATTCTAAACACTATGTTGAGTAAACATGGCTGTACACTTCATGATCTATTTCTTACAACATCTCTCTCTGTAAGTAAATGGCACAGTAAAACACACTTATTTACATTGAATATTTACTGAGCATCTACTATGGGTCAGAGAAAGTGGTGCTGGGTGATCAAAACAGAATTGTCCTTGTCTTCAAGGAGCTTATAGTCTAGAGGAAGTCAGATGCTGTAAAAATAACCCCACACTGGAAAGATATAAAATCAGGCACTCAGTATAAAACATGGGACTCACTTTAGATTAGGCGTCAGGGACAACCTCTTCGAGGAAGTGACTTTAAGCTGAGATTGTAGCAATAAGTAAAGTGAGGAAGGCAAAGAATATTTGCATGTTTAGTGGAAAGAGATCAGGAGTGTGTGTGTGTGTGTGTTTAAGGGAGAGAGAACAACACACACAGAAGCCCAGAGATGGAAAAGATGTGGAGGAAATGA